GGGTAGCAGTTTGGTAGGATCTATCTACTCTCTGGGTTCTGCTCCAATTATTTTTTTCTGCATCAAGAGACTTTGAAGGTCATAGAATGTCAGGTGTGATGACAAGGTTTTTATCTAGGAGGACAAAGGCATATATATGCAAGGGGAAGACAAGGAGAGGGAGGATTTACTAGGAAATGAGTTTAGTTTCTTGTTGCTTAGGCTTGTCAAATTGCTCACTAGCTTTGGCCAAATAATCTTTTAATGAAATAATTTTTGAACCAGAATTTCTTTTGGAGGATTTGCTATACCAATTATATATATATATATATATATATATATATATATATATATATATATATATATATATTTATCTCAGACACAACTTGATTATGAATAGAGGAGTCCTCCAGAACCTTAATAGTTCCTCTGTTAAGCATTTAATATTACAATTCCATTTGTAGAGTAAGTCTCTCCTTATTAAATTTGCAGGAATGTTATCACAGAGCAGAAAGTAATGTTTTTCATTCAAGGATTCAAGTGCTATAGTTAAGAACTGGCAGGTAGGAAAAAAATCTGGGAGTTGTTTGAAAGACAAAATAATAAGTCTATTAGTAGACCTACTAATTTTCAGGAGTAGAATTTAGTGATTCATCACTTACATAAAAAACCCAGTGCTCATCACTATAAGTGCCCTCCTTAATACCCATCACCCATTTGTTTGAAACCCTTCTTAAAATGTTCCAACAACTGTTCAGGAAAAGGTGCTATTTCCTATTCTATTTTTGAATCAGTCTTCAGCTTCAGGTTTAACTCCATTGACAGATTGAGATGAAAGGGCTTCTTTCACACTGACACCTTTGGTGAACCTCCCAAATGTTGTCAGAGGGATTTTCTAGTCTAGCACAAAAATCTCTTTCATTTTTACTTTTCTGTTTTCATTATTAAATTATGGTCCAATCAATTTTTATTGGAAATGTTTAGGGATATTACTGGTAAGAGGCTTTGCCCTACTTTTCAGGCTTTTTTTTTTTTTTTAACCCTAGCTTTATTATGGCAAAAGAGATGCTGTAGATCTCTTTCTGGGTTAATCCAATCAGCTTTTGCTATTCAAGATTTAGCATCTGTGGTCCTGACCAACACATGGACAAGCTGATGTAGGCTGGGTAACCCTGAATCATATACACACAAAATAATTGTAAATTCTTCTAGGAATAGTTCCTGGTCTTGTTGGGGGTCTTGTAGGGAGGCCCTTAACTACAGCTCTTAATTCATCTTGGGTCCAAAGTTTAAATTCTACAGTTGCTGTATATCTGGCTCATAAGAGAGATGGATCTTTAGAGGCAACTGACATTTTATGGTGCTAGAAGGTTGTTGGGAAATCATAGAGGGTCTGCTCAAGAGGAAGAGACAGACGTAATTGACACAAGTGAAGAAAGACAGAGATGAGAAGGATAAAGAGGAAAGGGGATATTGGATATAGGGAGGCAAGGGGAAGACAAGGAGAGGGAGGATTTACTAGGAAATGAGTTTAGTTTCTTGTTGCTTAGGCTTGTCAAATTGCTCACTAGCTTTGGCCAAATAATCTTTTAATGAAATAATTTTTGAACCAGAATTTCTTTTGGAGGATTTGCTATACCAATTAAAAACTGCTGCCCATTGACCTAGGAAATCTTAATTCCCCTTCTTTTCTAGGGTGCTCATTAAATACAAAATTTATTCAAGTCAAATGTTCCGCAGAGTGGCCACTGAAGGCGCAAATCCTTACAGCTGAAGTCACACCATTTAGAGAGACAGCCACCAGAGCCGTGATTATAATGACAACACATATAAGAAGCAGCAGTTTTTCCTGGAGGAGGAGCGGATTTAGGCTCAGACAACCTCAGAAGAGCCTGCAAAGACTGATTGAAAGTGATGCTTGTGTTCTTTGTGTGTCAAGTGCCCCGCCTGAACGCTGGCCCCCTCCAAACACTAACTCCCTGGCAGGTAGAAAATTAGAGAGATCACTCCCTCTAAACTGAAGGCAAATTAGGAAGAGGTGCCTCACCCAGTTAATAAAACTGATCCACAGTGAAGTTTGTCCAGTGGATGCCCATCTGGTAAGAACTGCAAACTCATTGGTCTGTGAGGCTGGCTTGAACAACAGGTTTATAGGGCCTATGGCTGTGTTCTACCCTATGATCCTCCTTATGACAAATCATACTTTCAGATAACACAATACAAAATGAAAGTATAAAAGAGAGCCTCCCCCAAAAGGATGAAAAGGAATAGTGTGATTCCACCAAGGATAACTTAAGTAGAATAAATAGCTGAGGAACTCAATGCAAAGATAGCAGAGTTTGGACCCAGCACTGATGATGTAGGCACAGACATTACAAACCACACGCAGCAAGGCACAAGGGTCCTCTGTGGGGACCACATTGGATCAAAGCTTGGGGTCCAGGAGGTGATGGACAGTGCAGACCGTGTCTCAGTGCTCTCAGTGCAGTCTTTAGGAAAACTGTGGCAAGAAACAAAGACCACCCAGATAATAAACAGAAACTATTCATTCGGAGCTCGCTAGAGCAAGGGAGTAAGTCACCATCAGTTGCATTTGGCAAACTCAAGGGCAGCCAGGGAAGTGGAAAAGCTTTATGGTGAAAACTGGGAAGGGTTCAGATCAGCTCTGATTGGGGTTTGTTGGCAAGGGGAAGATGGAGGTAGGCTAACTAGAAAAGAGCATCTTAGATCACTGATTTAGGGAGAGCATATCTGGCTTTCTCTGCTTGGTCCTGAGTTGGAAGAGAGTGAAAAACCTGGGAAGCTGGCAGGCATCGACTGAGTCCTAAATGTTCTGGCAAGATAGGTGCAGGGGTTGTAGTTTGGCTTCCTGAGCTACCTGTTGCAGAGATTATGGACTGGGGTTCTAATCCTATCAGACAGGGTCCGGTCCTTGTCAAGTCTATCAAGGCGAAGATGGCCTGAACAATTACATCTCATTTAATCATCATGATGGTTTTCTCCATGTCTCTGTTTTACAAGTGAGGAAAGCAAAGCTCAGGGAATATGAGTAATGTATCCAAAGTCATACAACCAGCAACACAAGCAAAGTTCAGATCTATGAATGTTGGATCTATTTTTAACTATGTTATGTCTTAAAGGGCAATGAAATTATTCTTATGTTGTCCTATTAAAAATATTAGATGCTCAATAAGTGCTTAATAAGTGCATATTGGGTGAGAGAATGGATGAAAATAATTTCGGAACACTTCTTTTGCAACTGCCTCCAGAGCTTGTATTTTTTAAAATAACTTCTATGAAGGCAGAGCTAGATTATGGATTTAGTTTGTAGAAACAAACATTTTTTTCCCAAATTAAGACCAGAAACTAAGGTGAGAGAAACTGCTGGCTCAGAAACCTAGTGTATCCACTCAGTAATGAGATGGCTCTTGTGATTTTTACACATTTGCTTGTGATCGACAAATCAGTTTTGAAGGCTTTTCCAAAGGAGAAATTGCAAGAAGAGTTATATGTTGGGAATAAGAACTCATCACTTCAAAAGTTTAAAGGCTGATGCTTACTTTAAAAAGTAAGCTAAATTCTCATTATTTTTGTGTTTTATCTTTCTGCATAATTTCACAAAGTTCTCAATGGTCTATCATTCAATAAATATTTGTCAAATATCTATTATGTGTTTAGTTCTGTGCTTTGAACACAGATATCAAATATTGCCTTGTCAAACAGGGGCTCACAGTCTAGTTGAGGAAAACAGAAAATTAACAATTGAAATGCAGTTTGACAAGTGCCAGGCTGACAAATGGTGGGTATCGATACCCTGGGAACAATTAGAAGGAACAGCAGTGAGTTGGTACTTGTTAAACAACTAATTCCTGGGGGGAGTGGCAGGAAGGTCAAAGCCTCATTTGCAGCATTTCTTGAGTATTTATTACATAAATACTCCCACCATGGCCAATTTCAAGCTTACAATAGGATACCATTAAAAGGGAGTTGAAAAGAGATGTGCAGCAGTACACCATCATGTCCTATTTCCACTGTCCAGATATAAGAGATGTAAATAATCTCAAAAGCACAGATAACAGTAAAATGTAGAAAAAGTAGGTAGGAAGTGACAAGTTTGTGTAGTTATCACGTTTGCTTTTCATATAGTTAACTTTACTGTAAACTTACATAACCTATTGTTAAAAAACAGCCGTATTTAAAAACCAGCCCATAAAATTACTGAACATTTAACATCAGCTCTTGGAAAGCAGAACTGGAACCGTTCGAGTGGACTCTAGCACACCACTGAACAAGAGCAATGTCAGGAATTACTGTAGGCTCACCTAAGGAGACGAGTGCAAGGAAACTGAAGGCAGGAATCCTACCTTTTCATTTCTGTATCTCCCATATCGAGCGCTAGGTTGTTGAAGGGTCAAAGCAATTCATCAATATGTTTTTTTTGTTTGTTTGTTTTTAGCCCCTACTGTATTCTGGGCACTGTTCTAGGTGCTTGGGGGTATAGCAAAGAAAAACAAATCTGTACCTTTAGAAAATTTACACCCATTGGTGTGTGGTCGTGGGGTGTACAAGAAAAAAAGTAAAATCAGGTGGTGGGTGATTAGTGTTGGGGGTAAAAATTCTCTATTGCAGAGGCGCTGCTATTTCATAGCGGGCTGTCAGGCAATGGCAAATACGGAGACCTACGAAAGTAAGGAGGAAAGGTTGTGGAATATGAGAAACACGGTGTAAGTAAGACTGAAGCACAGACTGCACAAATCTCACCCTTCAACAGGGCTGGAACACAGAGCAAGCTACGGAAGCTTTTCTCCAGAGAAGCCCAGACAGTTCCGCTCCCCCTTACTCTCCTCAGCCTCTCTGCACAAGGGCAGAAGTCTTCCTCCAAGTCTGTCTCAGGGGTACTCTCCGAAAGTCGCTTTACGCACGGACAGCCCTGCGCATGCTCAAATCCACGGTTTCTGGCGCACAAACTAGGGCAGTTTGCGCATGTGCGTAAGCGAGACAAGATTTTTGTCCCAAGGCCTTGCCGTACCGTCCGGGCGGCGAGTTGCATCCTGGTTCAGTTAGTGTGTACGGCGTGTGTCGAGTGTTTGCTGATCACTGTCGCCACCAACAAAATGAACCGCGAGAGCTTCGCGGCGGGCGAGCGGCTGGTGTCGCCGGCTTATGTGCGGCAGGGCTGTGAGGCCCGCCGCTCGCATGAGCACCTCATAAGGCTGCTTCTGGAGAAGGTACCGAGCTGTCGGGTCACTCCCCAGCTGCCGCGCCCCCCAGAGCCTCTGGCTCCGCCCAGCGCCCCTTTAGTCCCGCGTACTGCCAACCCACACCTGTATGTTGGTTGAGACCTGTGCCCGGAGTGTCTCGCAGCTTGCGGTGCGCTGGGCTGACTTGCTGCTCTCAGCAAATTCTCAGCCTCACCATAAACCAGCAAAACCCAGAGCGTGTAGTTGAGCTTGTGGGAGTCCGGATTTTGAGTCCTCTGTTTTTTCCGAACTTGGGGATCTGAAGTGAGGGGAAGTCCCAGTTGCTTTACTGTTTTGTTTGCGAAGAGGGCAAAGTTCGCACCTTCTCTCTCTGACTATCCCAAGGACTGGGGGAGTGCTTTGTGTTTGTAAACCAGGACACAGTAACTCGAACCAACAACTGCTGCAGAACCTCACGGGTCTCGTTCCTGCCAGTAACCCGAATTTTAATTTCACTCAAGTTTGACAAGACCTAGTCTTAGCAGTCTGGTTCGAAGAATCCTCATTGAAGATACAATTTATTTGTTTTCAGTTACCTTAATTTACTGTAACTTTAAACCCGAGTAAATGTCATCGTATTCATCTATTATCCCTTCTGGGAATCTGTAGATAATTGTAATGCCGTGTAACAAATGTTTTGCCTCTTCGAGGTTTCTTCTTTATGCTGAATTTATGTCCTAAATTTAGAAAGCAAGAAGCATGGCAAAATACACACTGCAAAGTTTAAAAAATTCATTGAAGTACAGTTCTAGGGGATGATTTTCTGAAATATAAGCTTTTCTATTTTTTTCCAGGGCAAGTGTCCAGAGGATGGTTGGGATGAAAGTACACTTGAACTTTTTTTACATGAACTTGCAATCATGGATAGCAACAATTTCCTGGGCAATTGTGGTGTGGGAGAAAGGGAAGGGAGAGTGGCATCTGCCTTAGTTGCTCGGCGTCATTACAGGTATATTTTTAAAGTAGAAAACCTTTCTTTTTTTTTTGTTAAAAACAATGGTGTTAATACTAATGTTAAATTATAAAACATCTATTGGTGACCTATTCTTCCCTATTCAAATGGACATATAAACCAGATGCAACAGGGAGATGGAAACAGTTTGTGTGAGTAGTTGCTTTTCAAGACAGTTGGGAGAAGGTTCTAGTTATCCTGTCAACGTTCTGGGTGTTTAAGAATACTGCCTATGCATTTAACATAATAAATCTGTTTGGTTTTAAGAGTTTAAACTATGTTAAGGTTGTTGATAGTTTGCCGTATTTCTTTTCTGGTATTGCATGGTTCTTTAGAGAATGATATGTAGGTAGAACTTTAAAATGTTCGTCAGTATCTAAACCGAATCCTATTTCATAAATAGCTTGCTTTGTTGCAGTAGATGTAGGAATGGTATGCTAAACTTTAGATTATTAAGTCACTTTCCTTTTGCAATATTTTAGAAAGCTTTTTGTCAATTCTGCTAACCATTTCATTGGTAGTGTTTCCAAATATGATCATTTCTCTGTTCTTCCACTTTTCTGTGAAATATAGGTAAACTTTTAAAAACTCCTGTCTTGAAATTTTCGGTGATGAAATTTTTCTGAGCATAGTAGAATTTTATTTCAATCAAAACCATTGCAGTCAGAACTAATGATAATGATCTGTAACTTGGCTGAAAAATTCGTGGTTAAAATGGGCTGATAACATGATTTATAATATTTGTTAAAAAATGCTTTGTACATTATGTTTCAGTATGTTTCACAGACACCAGTGTTCTGTGATAATCCCAGTGTGATGGATTTCTGATATTACTACAAGTAGTACATTTTTTTTAAGACTTTATTTATTTATTTGACAGACAGAGATCACAGTAGGCAGAGAGGCAGGCAGAGAGAGAGAGAGGAGGAAGCAGGCTCCCTGCCAAGCAGAGAGCTCTACCCGGGGCTCGATCCCAGAACCCTGAGATCGTGACCTAGAGCTGAAGGCAGAGGCTTAACCCATTGAGCCACCCAGGTGCCCCAGTACAAACATTTTTGATTTTGAAAAATACTCAGATGTATCTTTCATGTGTATAATTTCATCTAATTTAAAATGAGTGGATTTGCACACTGATTTTTCAAGGAGTGTATACAGTTGACCCTTGAATAATATGGGTTTGAACTGTGCAGTTCATGTGGATTTTTTTCAGTGAATGCAGGACAATACTGTAAATGTATTTGCTCTTCCTTATGATCTTCTTAATAACATTTTCTTTAACTTGTTTTATGGTAAGAAAACACTGTACTATACATATAACATACAAAATATGTGCTAATTGACTGCTTATGTTACTGGTAAGGCTTCCAGTCAATAGTAGGCTATTAGTAATTAAGTTTTGGGGGAATCAAAGTTATACTTAGATTTTTGACTGTCAGGCACCCCTAACCACCACCCCCCGCCCCGCCCACCAAGGGTGACCTGTAGTATTTTTTAAATTAAGGCTATATTTGAAATAGCAGCTCATCCCCATTGGAACTTAGTCCACTGCTCTGGTTAAGGAAATGAAAGAAAGAAGAGAATCTAATGTCATATATATTCTGGTTTTCAATTGCTGTTAACAAACCACCTGAAAATTTAATGGCTTAAAACAGTAATTATTATTGTCTTTCACAGTTCTGTGGTAAGTTAATTGGGCTCAGCAGTATGATTATTGCTTCCAGTCTCTCATGCAGTTGTAGTCAGAAGTTGGCTGAGAGTTTAGTTATTAGGTCAACTGGGGCAATTTATCCAGGTTGACTGACTTAGACGGCTGGGAGCTCAGATGGCCTTCACACCTGGCATGGGCCTCTCCCAGCATGGCATCTGGGTTATAGGAGGGAGCTCCCACAAGAGCAGGCCCTTCCAGAGGCCAGGTGAAGCTTTATGTCTTCTTTGACCTAGATCAGAAATTCCAGAGCATCACTTCTACTAGATGCTTCCTGGCCAATCAAGTCACTAAGGCCAATTCAGATTCAAGGGGAGAGGAATTTGATTCCATTTCTTGGTGTTGACAGTAGTGTGTGTGCATAGGGAGAAAAGGAATTGATGGTGGCCATCTTTGGAGACTAGCTACTGTAATATAATTGATTTCAGTTTAACTAGGATATTTTCACATTTTTAATAGTTTATGAAATATATCTGCAGTAGTCAAGTGTTGCCTCTAGTGTTTTTTTTTTAATTATTGTACCTGTATACTTATACAGTGAATTACTTAGAACACTGAATATTTTTGTCCAGTTGTTGGCCCATTTTTTGCTTAGGTTCATTCACGGAATTGGACGATCGGGTGATATTTCTGCTGTGCAACCAAAAGCTGCAGGTTCTAGCCTTTTGAACAAAATTACCAATTCTTTGGTCCTGGACATCTTGAAGTTGGCTGGTATGTACTATATTAATCATAATATTTTGGCTGACCAGCCACACCCACCTTTGCTTAATATCTTTTGTTAATGCCTCTTTCCAAACAGGTCCTGAAGGGCTCTTGAAAAGACATAAAGACATACATATTTTTAAAAATCCTTTAGGAAAAAATAGAAAATCAGAGCCATAAGCCTGGAGGATGAATTTGGCAGTAAGCTTCCTGAGGTCAAGTACAGAGGAAGCACTGTCTATAACTCTTACTATTTGATTGAAGAATTATATCATTTCTTCAAGAAGGATGCTGGTTTTTTAGTGAAATAACTAATTTCTCCTTTACTTCTTATTTGTAGGTGTCCCTACAGTGACCAACTGCTTTGTAGTTCCCATGGCAACTGGTATGAGTCTAACCTTGTGTTTCTTAACATTACGACATAAAAGACCAAAAGCAAAGTATATTATATGGCCGAGAATAGACCAGAAGTCCTGCTTTAAATCCATGATCACTGCAGGTAAAAGAAGAAAAGTGACATATATAATGTAGAAAATTCACCCTTTTAGAGGTGATTGAATGAAAAAGAAACTAAATGTGTTCTTATTCTTCCTTTTTATTGTAATAAAATATACATAATAAGATTTACTGGTTTAATCATTTTAATTTGATTATTTATTTTTAAAAATATTTCATTCATTTGAGAGAGAGAGCAAGTGCAAGCACGAGCAGCGGGGGAGTAGAGGCAGAGGGAGAGAGAGAAGCAGATTCCCTGCTTAGCAAGGAGCCCAGTGGCATCTCCATCCCAGGACCTTGAGATCATGACCTGAGCCTAAGGCAGATGCTTAACCAACTGAGCCACCCAGGTGCCCCAATTTTAATCATTTTTAAGGCTAAGATTCTATGACATTAAATACATTCACAGTGTTGTGCAATCATTGTGTAACACCATCTCCAGAACTTTTCCATCCTCTTAAATTGGATCTCTACCCATTAAACATCCCTACCCATTAAAAATCCCTGCTACTCCCAGTTCCTAGAATTCACCGTTCTACTTTGTGTGTCCATGAATTTGACTACTCTGGGTCCTTCATATAAGTGGAATATAGTGTATTTGTCCTTTTGAGACTGGGCTTATTTCATATAGCACAATATCTTTAAAGTTCATCCATGTTGTAGCATGTATCAGAATTTCTTTCCTTTTCTAAGAGTAATACTCCTCTGTATATCTTTATATCTTACATTTTGTTCATTCATTCATTCGTTGATTAATACCTGGATTGCTTTCACCTTTTGGCTCTTGTGAATAATGCTGAGTAAACATGGGTGCAAGAATACCTGTTCGAGTCCCTGCTTTGAATTCTTTAGGGTCTATACTCCAAAGTGGAATGTCTGTATCATATATCCCTATTCTTTGAAATGGGAATATGATTATCTGTCTCACAACATTGTTTTGATCATTGAGCAGGATGACATATGAAATACCCAGCAGTAATCCCTGGAGCATAAAGGTACTAAGGAGCTTCAGGAATGGTGGGTGTAGATACATAAATGGGATACATATAAATTATGACCATAAACGCAAGTGTAAGGATCCAGGCATCATTACATATAGGTGAGGCAAAAACTTTACGTTGGTATTTTAGTATTTAGCTTGCTTAAGTCAAGGTGAATTTGGGAACTTAAAGTTAATTTTGAATAGCCTCAGTCTGTTGTAGGAAGTAAACTATATTGGCCTGTAATTAAACTGCATAAATAATCCTAAAGAAATCCATTTAAAGGGATTCATAGTAAGGACATATAGCAGAAATTGATAAAAAGATACACTGATTTATGTTAAGTAGTATGAAGTTGTCAAGTCTGTTTATTTATATCCTGTTAACCAAAGAACTAATTACCAAACTTACGAGAAAGGTTGCCATATTGAAAAATGGGAAACTTTTCCAAAAGATATTAGGATTTATATTACAATGTACAGTTTAACCTTTCTTAGGATATATTCTTAGGAAGCCAGATAGTTGTATCCTCCAAAAAAACTTGCATTTTAGATGTTTGAAGGCAAAAATAGGGTTGGGTCGAGAGAATTTGAAAAATAATAGAAAATAAGCTGTCATTAGGAAGCACTACTTATTTAAGTTTTGTTTGTTTTGAAAGCTATGAAAGTATAGATATAAAACCCGGACATCTCTGAGCCAGTATAATTGAATTGATGATTTTATAGTGGCCAGGTTTTTATATTTCTATAGATAGAATGCAGACAACTTGATATGGATTATTAAGCACAGAAGAAAACTACTTGCTTATAACTGTGCTTTAATTTGCTGTTTGACCTTGGGGAAGCCACTAAATTTTCCTGAATTTTGGCTCCCTTATCTTTGAAATGAGTGAGTTGAGGTAAATGGTTTCTAAGTCTCTTAGAGCCCCTAAGTGCATAAGTCCAGCCTGCTGTAGATTTGCTATTTAGGAATACTGAAGATGTGACTACATAATAATTTGATGTGTAAAATCTCCCAAGTTTATTTTCTATCCAGTTTGTAAGACTCTGACCACTTAGATTTTACTTATACCCTAAGTACTTAGTAGCATTACAAAGTATTTGGTTATCTAAGTGCTCTGTGCAGTGTTTGGTGTCTATATTGCACATACAACTCTTGAAGTTTATGGATACCTAAATGTTCACCATACAAGATTACACAGTTATTATTTGGGGCGACCTTTGATCATATGCTAGTTAAGTGTACTAATTCAATTGAAAATTGAGAAATAGTTTTTATATTTAAATTATAGAAGGCCTTTGTGAAACTGTGGGATAGGTCAGTGGTCAGTAAACTACTAAAGTTCGTTACTTTTTCTTTAGGAGTAAAATATTAAATTGGTGATTGTGATTTGTTTTAGTACTTGAATTGTATTGTTATTCTTGTCCATCTCTGAAATAAAGTGAACTTAAAAATGAAATGTTGCCAGGGGTGCCTGGGTGGCTCAATCAGTTAGGTGTCTGCCTTCTGCTCAGGTCATGGTGCCAGGGTCCTGGGATTGAGCCCCACATTGGGCTCCCTGCTCTGCGGGAAGCCTGCTTCTCCCTCTCCCACTCCCTCTGCTCTGTTCCCTATCTCTTGCTGTCTCTCTCTCTGTCAATTAAATAAATAAATAAAATCTTTTAAAAAAAAGTGAAATGTTGCCGGAGAATGAGTAGATTTACTTTTCTGGGGTCTGAAGTTGAATTGTGCCAAATGATCCTTTTTGTCATCAATGACTGTGTTATTACTTGTTTAGGTATTTATTTGACATTTGTTTTCCTTCCCAGAATTAATCTTTGTAGTCCTATCTAAGTGTTAAGTAAATTTGTGGTCCTATTTGTGGTCTACTAGTCCTTCACATTATTTTGGCCTGCTTTTGAGTCCTACCAGTATCAAGCCATGTCTCTATTATTCAGGGAGGGTTCACTGACGGGATTTAGAGTTCTTGTGTGGAATAGCACTGCTACCTAGAGTTCCAGGATCTTCCCTTATTTTAGTTTATCTAACATTTTTGATTTCTGATTGGCTTGGTTAGGTTTTGAGCCTGTGGTGATAGAGAATGTTGTAGAAGGTGACGAGCTGCGCACAGACCTGAAAGCAGTGGAGTCTAAAGTCCAGGAACTTGGGCCTGATTCCATTCTGTGTGTTCATTCCACTACATCCTGTTTCGCTCCAAGGGTGCCTGATAGGTAAATCATTTGCAAATATTGTCCTTTAGGTTTTCATTGGGTCTTTCAAATAAAATGCAGATATGCTGATTCTCAAAGATGCTTAAGTAACATTGGGTAGTAAATAGGTAAATGGACTAGCAGAGAAAAAGCTTGGTGGTTTGGGAAAATAAAAATTTGATATAGAAGAAGGAAAAACAACTAATACCAAGTGGAGATCTCTTTATCACCTGTGTAGACACAGAACATCTCTGTGTTCTTGCTTTTTTCTGTTTCTGATCTCTGCATCTTTTCCTCATTATTTAGTAGAAGCTTCTAAGCATAATGTTGGATTTACTTGTTTTCATTGCTATCTCTATCTCTTTGATCTTACAGTTAGTTTTCCTATATAAGAACTATTAGTATTAACAAATTTTTTGAATAGGAAATTTTAGGATTATTTATTGCCTTTTGAATTTTTTAATTACAAGATTAACTCAGATGTACACTTAAGTGTACACAGTGGATGTCTCTGCATTTTGAGAAGAATGCATATGTTTAAGAAAATAAAAGCATACTTTTCTAAAGGATGTCCACAGATTTAATTCTGAAAATGTAATAGGCTTGGGTATAGTAATACAGATTTCTAGTTTTGACAGCAACTCTTTGTTTCATTTTAACATTTTGAACAGAAGTGCTGGTAATTTTAAAAACTATATTGACTTTGGTCTATTTTTTAAGATCAAATTATACTTTAGTTTTATTTAATTCATGGACTCACACAATTTGGCATTAATGAATGTATGTTACTATTTATTATTTTATAGGCATGTTTTAAGAGACATGTTAAGACCATGCTCTTGAAAATTTACCTTGTTTAATTTGGGACTCTGAATTCTATTTTAAGATTATATTGCATATGCTTTACTTGTTTATGCATTACTTACCAATCAGTTTTTAAATTTGCATTGAAATATTAAATAAACATCACTATTCATTCTTCATTGATGATTTTCCTATCTAGAAAAATTTTCATGTGATAGAAATAAGTCACATTTCCAAAAATAGCACATGGGTATTTGTGATAGATTGTTTATGCTTGAGGTTAGTTTTGTTTCATTTTGATTTTTTTTAGATGTTTACAGTATACTTGGTATAGAGTTAAGTCTTTTACATTGTTCTCTCCTTTGGAAAAAAACCACAAAAGTTTTTTATCAGCAAATTCTTAAATGCCACTTTTTAGTTCTGTTATCTAATGAATGTTTCTGATAAGAGTAAACTTTAGGAAAATAGTGATGCACAGTTATTAATATGTTTGAATTTCTGATTTTATTAAATTTAAAATATATTTTGATTTCTTTACATTAAGCTTATTCCTTTATAGTCTTAATTTGAATAGGGATATATATATATATATATATATATATATATATGGTCTTTATCAGTTAATTGGACAGAATATTGTGGGACCAGATCAGTCAAAGGAAATGTAAAAAAAAGGCATATCATTTCTTCTATCTGACAGACATCTTAAATTGGCCACTAAGTTATAATACAGTTTGATCCACATGGAGGATATTTTTTGTCTCCTTGCCTTTCATTAAATACCTTTATGCACCCCCTAAATACTAGCAGATTTGATCAATTCTGAATATTTAAAATAATTCACAAGTGATTTTTTTTCCTTCTTAAAATAGTACTTTATGTTATAGTATCATACTTTAAAGGAGCTTTATTATTAAGGAATGCTTTTATTAGAACACAAACATACAAAAGTGACTTTTATGAAGAAAATACTTGTTCGTACCCAGAAAAGTTCTGTTTTTTAAAAACAACATTTGATTAATTTGAGTAATAGAAAGGTTCCTCTGTCAGTTTGTGAGGTTTATGAAAATGAATGATAAAATGACTTTTTAATTCATAATACCTTAAGGAAATAGTAAACTGAAAACCTCTGACAGAAGAACAGAATAATATCATTCCTATCTGTACTTTAAGAACATATTAATAAACATCTAAAAAAGAAAATGTATTTTGCAAAAATAAATGATAAAATCATATAATATATATTTGAAATACATCCTTATGGGAAGGAACTTTTATTGAGTAAAAATGCTTTGCTTCCAAATTCTTTGTATTGTAGAAAGAACATTTTTTAAAAAAATTTAGTTTTATTAAATCATAGGATTTAGTTTTAGCTTCATAGCATGTGAAGACATTTCTATTAGAAATGGCCTCAGTCATAAGTAGTATTTGGTTTTGCAAGGGAACATCATTTATTACACTCTAATTGAAATTTATTACCTTACTTTGCATAGAGTTAGACTCTCAAATTGTTTTAATATAAGGAGTGTCAAATGAAAAAGTAAGAGTGAATTTAAAACCAGCAGCTATTTAAAAGATCCTTTAGTTTGCAAGTTGTTGGAAAGTGTTATTTTGGTACTGAAACATTTAATGTTCTGTATTTTTTAATACATTAAAGTCTACTTGAAAATGTATTTTTTACTTTACGAGATGTTAAATGTAAGATTTCCTAAGATTTCAAGACATGCTAATTATTTTGCAGCTATTAGCTTTAGTATGATAAGCAACCAAAAGCATTTGAAAATGAACATACCACCTCATGAAGGGGTCATTATAATCTGCTTCTTGTTTTTTATATGGGAAATCTTAAAGTGATTTAAAAGCTACCATCTGTACAGATTTTGATAAATACCCATTTTCTCATTTATTGGTAATATTAATTTAAAAGCTTTTTTAGGTTTATCCTAAAGTGCCTGCTGCTGAAAATGCTAAAATACCACTGTAGAAATTTCAGTTTTCCCATTTTTTTTCTGGTGTACATTAAGAATAACTATTGAATTAAAGAAATTTTCACACTGTAATTTATAAAAGCACAGTAGGAATATGTCTTTCTGTTGAATATTTATGTTTGTAGAGTAGAAGAACTGGCTGTGATCTGTGCTAATTATGGCATCCCACATATAGTCAACAATGCATACGGAGTGCAGTCTTCAAAGTGTATGCACCTCATCCAGCAGGTAAGAGAGTTTAAAAAGATAATGTCGGGAAAAAATGATTTTAATATATTACAAGATTATTCCTTCGTTTTTCTTACTACTTAATATAGTAAAATCGACTGTGGTATCTTCACCTTCATGGAGCATTAGAAATTGGCATCTAATATCCATATGGTAAAAGTGACTCTTCTTTGCTGGTTATTAGACTGATAGCTTTGGTCAGGACCAACGTAGAACTACTTAGTAGCTTATTTTTTTTTTAACTTTCTGAGATTGTTTCATTACCAGTATTGTTGCTTTTCTAATATACTGGGTTATTGTATTTTTAAAACTATATTGATGATTTATTCCGTATTTAAGGAATCACTATAACTTATTATCCTAGGGTGGAAATGGCTTCATTTGTAAACATTTGAGTGTATAACTATGAAGTTGGCAGGTTTAAAAAAAAGTTATGATTTTGTTATTTTAAGGATCAGCCAGATCCTAGTCATCTGTTTTAGATTCTTTTTTAAAAATTTTATTTATTTATTTATTTTGAAGGAAAGAGAGAGAGAAAGAACACGAGCTGGGGGAGGACAGAGAGAGAGGGAGAAGCAGACTCCCCATTGAGCAGGGAGCCCAACTCAGCCCTCCCTCCCTGGACCCTGGGATCAGGACATGAGCCGAACAAGATGCTTAACAGACTGAGCCACCCAGGCGCCCCATAGAGTCTTTTTTTTTTTTTTAAGATTTATTTATTTATTTTAGTGAGAGAGAGAGAGAGAGAGAGAGCGTGCATGTGGGGGTTAGGAGCAGAGTGAGAGGGAGAGAGAATCTCTAGCAGATTCCTCCGACATAGGGCTCCATCCCACAACTCTGAGATCACGCTCTGAGCCAAAACCTAGAGTGAGATACTTAACTGACTTTACCACCCCGGCACCCCTGTTGTAGATTCTTATTTTGAAAATACTCCTGGGCATCCCGTCCTGCTCAGAATTAGAGGCATAGCCATGGCTTGCGAGGCTTTATGTACTCAGGCCTCTGCACCTTCTCCAGTTTCATTTACTACTGCCCTCTCTCTCTGACCCGCTGCCTCTGGGCACATTTTTTCTGTTCATTGTGCCATGTGTGTGCGCACTGCCCTGCTTTTGCTCTTGTTTCATCCTCTCACTGGGTTCCTCTTCCAGAGAGCTGCGTGGCTTTTTACCTCTCTCAGACACCCTATCTAAAACTTCAGGTTCCTTTTTTTTTGCGTGCATTTTCTGACTCCCTTTTCCTATTTTATATCATACTCATTTATTCTAAAGTACACAGTTTTCCACATTATAATGTCTGTAAAATTGGGGTGTCTTAGAATCAGTGGTGTCTTATAGTGTATTTAATTGACAATGTTTTTTCTTACCTAGTAGTATGGAAAATTTGGGTGCTTCTTAAAATTGATGGCCTCTTGTTCTTTTTCTCCGTAGCACATATCACCATTTGATATGATGTTTATTTTTTTTATTGTTTAGTTATTGGTAATAACTGGAATTAAGATTTTGTTAGAGAAAGGACTTTGTTTTGTTCACTGTTATGTCTTCAATACTTAAGACAGAATGTGTTACATAATTGATATTCAGTGACTGGTTCCTGGAAAAATTGGATGAATAAATGAAATATTATATTTACTTAGAGTGGTTAATTACTTGTATTAAGATGTGGATAGCTATTATCCATGTATGGTATGAGTTATATAATCTATGTGCATAATGGTGTTAATCACATACTTAATTTTGACACACATGTGGTTTGTGTTACCTGGGGAAGACTTATTCACAGATTATCTGTGGCCTTCTCCAGTGCACTGGTGAATGCTCCTTAGCCCAGTAGGTCCTAGCTGGTTAAAAATAATAATAATAATTTTTGGAGTATACTAGTATCATTTCTCATATAAATGTAGTTTATATGATAGTATTAGCTGATTTGCTTAACTTCTTTACTGAAAGGTTGTATCAGGGCACAACTAGCTGCAGGTAACAGAAGCCCAACTCAAATTCAGCTAACCAATGAGGAAATGATTAGTTTATATAACATAAATCTCCAGGTGGAGTGGCTGGTAGGCATGTTATGCCAGAGGAAGACTATCTATCATTACTTTCATATCCTTTTCCATTATTCCTTAACTTTTTAAGGAACTTTTCCATCATAATTCTATTTTTTTAAATATTTTTATTTATTTATTTGACAGAGATCACAAGTAGGCAGAGAGGCAGGCAGAGAGAGAGAGGGGGAAGCAGGCTCCCTGCTGAGCAGAGAGCCCGATGCAGGGCTCGATCCCAGGACCCTGAGATCACGACCCTGAGCTGAAGGCAGAGGCTTATTAACCCACTGAGCCACCCAGGCACCCCTCTGTCATAATTCTAGACAAGATTATTTCCAATGTGAATGGTAGCCAAGAAAGGTTGTATAATTTTCCACACTGGAAATCTTTTTTTTTTTAAGATCTTATTTATTTATTTGAGAGAGAGAGAGCATGAGAAAGGGGAGGGTCAGAGGGAGATGCAGACTCCTGGCTGAGCTGGGAGCCCGATGCAGGGCTTAATCCTAGGACTCTGGGATCATGACCTGAATGGAAGGCAGACATCTAACCAACTGAGCCACCCAGGCACCCTCTATACTGGAATTCTTGAAAACATTTTATTTCAGTGATTTGTTATTTCCCTTTTCCCCTTTCCTCTTTAATTTTTAGCAGTCTCAATTATTTTGAAAGCATGCTCTACTTTGTCATCAATTCTAATTTGTGAGGTGATTTTACTGAAACTTTAATCAGAAAATAACACTTTTAAGATGGGTGAGTGATATTTAAAGTTACTGTATTGTTGCAGATACTATATTAACTTCTAAAATTAGCATTTCTTAAAAGGAAAAAAACTGTACTTAAATGTTTTAATGTTCCCAAATTGGCCCTCACAAAATGAGGTGGTGGCACTGTTGCTTTAAGCCAAGGAAATACTTGGGTCTTATTGAGTGAGACTTGCTGTTGATGACATTCTAAAAAAAATTATAGTTAGTTTTAATTCATCTCCATAGTTCTTCTTAGTAATATGCCATTAGTAATGCCATTTATTGAGTACCCACCATTTGTCAGGAATTCTGCTAGACTTTTAAAGTTTATTAGCTTAATCCTAACAATTTAAGGTGTACTTATTATTTATTTCCTTTCTGCAAATGAAGAAACAAACTCTGAAGGATTAAGTGACTGGCCCTAGGTCCCGTAGCTACAAAATGGCCCATTTAGTTCAGTGTGACTTCAGAGCCTCATATTTTCTCTTAAAAAACAGAGTGCTGAAATTGCAAATACATTCTTGAGAAGATAGTATTGTAGTAATCAGTCAGTGGAGAAAGCTATAACTAAAATGTTTCAGCTTTATTCATTTTATTTTATTTTTATTTTTGAAAGATTTTATTTATTTATTAGAGAGGGAGCACGAGAGCAGGGTGAGGGGCAGAGGGAAAAACAGTCTCCCCGCTGAGCAACAGTACTCTGAGACTGTGACCTGAGCCAAAGGGAGATGCTTAACTGACTGAGCCACCCAGGCACCCCAGTTTTTTCTTTTTTTCTTTTAAAATGATGCTCCAGAATGGTTTAATGAAGAGCATATAAAATATTTTGGTATACATGTGTCATCCCCAGGAAGGTGGCTTTGAGGAACCAGTACTTCTGTTTATATAGTAAACTGACTAATTTAGGAGACTGATGGAGTATGGATGGTAGGACAGATTAATGGAGAGGGATGTCGTAAAGTCACAGAAATATGTAAGATTGATTTAGAGTTGGAATGGATTACAAAGCTCCCAGAGTGTGGGAAGCAGCAGCTTCGCTTACTAAGAATTTGCAAAAAGTAGGTGTTATACTACTTATTCACAGACCTACTTGTCAGGTCATTCAACAGATACAGGGTTCCCCCTGATGTGCCAGGCATCAGGTTAGGCACTGGGGATACAGTAGTAAATACCACAGTGTCCTTCTATTCCTGGAGCAGAAGGAGACAGTAAACAATAAGTATGACAGGTCTTGATAAATGCTCTGGATTGGGGAGGGGGTGTCAGAGTAAATGGAGTGATCTTGGAAGTCCTCTCCAGGAAGTAGCATTTGAGCAGAGCCCTGAGTAATAGGAAGGGGTGAGCCCTGCAGCTCTCCAGAGTCCAGACAGAAGGTAACAGCAGCAAGTAAGTGCCAAGACTCTGAGGCAGGAGTGTGCTCGGAGGATGTGAGGAAGAGCAAGGAGGCCAATATGGCTGGACCAGGGCAAATGAGGACAGCAATGATAGATAGTAAGAGATTTGAGGTGCCCTAAAGATTAGGGATTTTATCTGTGGTATGGTTGTCAGCCACGGGAGGGTTTTGAGCAGAAGAGTGACATGTAATTTACATTTTTCAGCCCTCATTCTGGCTGCTACGTGGGGAGTAGACTGTAGGAAGACAAGAGTGGAAGGCTGTTGCAGAGCCCACATGAAGTGTGTTGGTGGCTCAGGCCAGGGTGGTGGCCATTAATGGTTAAGACATGGTTGGATTCAGATGTATTTTGAGAGTGGATCTTATAGGGTGTGCTGATGAATCAGACATGAGGTATGAGGAAATGAGAATTCAGGGACTCCAGGGCTTTGGCTTGGGTAGCTGGAGGAATGGAAATGCCACAGGAATAATATTTTGTTTTATAAACGTGGGCTCTTCCTCCAGGTTACCTCAGTTTTGGGTCCTGCTGTGCCTTTGATTGCCTGTGTGACTTTCAATAAGGTGCTTTTAACTGCCTGGATTTGAATCCCAGCTGTGCTGTTAAGTACATTTCTGACCTTGAGCAGGCCACTTTAATTTTATTATGCCTTAATTTTCTCATCTGTAAAATAGCTATTATAGTAGCATCTACCTCATATGGTTATTATGAGGACTAAATGGGTTAAAAACATAGAGTACTTAGAACAGTGCCTGATGTTTAGTAAGTTCTCAGTAAATTTTGGCAGAAATTTTTATTATATGAATAGTTATCTGTTTTATTTGCTACCAGTACCCCTAGCACCTTAAGCAATGTTTGGCACCTGATAGGTGCCCAGATATTTCTTTTGTGAATAAACAAGGAAACAAATGAACTGATGGTAGCCCTTTCCTTCATAGCACATGCGCATATGTTCCCTGTTTTACGTAAGCCCTTTCAGTCTTTGGTGTTTTTTTCCCCTCCTCATTGATATCCTCTGACTTCTGCGAGAGTGGGTCCAACTTGCTGCTTTTTTTGTTGTTGTTGTTCTTTTTTGTGAAGCAGTTAACGTATTGAGCCATATTTGATGGATATTAACTAAACTTACTATGGTAGTCACTTCATAATGTATGCATATATTAAATCATCATATTGTACACCTCAAACATACACAGAATGTGTCAGTTATATCTCAGTAAAACTGGCAAAATAATGTTTTCATTTAAAAAAAATGAAAAACCCATATTTTACTTCCACATTTATTTTATTTTTCTTTTAAAGCATATGTAGGTATATATTGGGGCTTATTCACTCTGTTTCTTTGATAAAACCATTTGTTATTTGTCAGGCTGTTTGTTTTCTTGCCACGGAGTGCGCTGCCCTTTATGCTTTCTGTGTTTTAGTGATGAAGGGTTCTAGCAAAGTCTGGCAGTGATTGTTCACTTAAAACTCCTGCTCCTGATTGAGACTCACATTTCTCTCAGGAAGCCTTGGACAGTACTTAAATGTTAATAAAAGACAACGCTAAGGATTCCTCTTTATTTTTACGTTCTACTACTTTGCGTGCTGTTTGGATATTTCATCAGTCATTATATGCTTCTTTCTGTTTCCTTGTGATATGGTGAGATTTTCTTTGATTTTAATTTATGAGGACATCAGAAGAGTAACAGGGAAAGGTTAAGATTTAAACAATTATGCGGTAGCTTCCAAAGTAGTCTGCTTCCCTTTCCTGCTTTTGTGCTTTTCCCTATTGCCTGGATCTGGTCTCTCAGATTAGGCCAGCGATCTGCTCCTTCTCTTCTCCCTCAGATATGGATGTGGAGGGAAAGTGTGAAGATGAAGGTCAAATGTGGTTGTAATATTAATAGGAATGTAGATTGTGAATACAGATTGAAAATCTGTCACTACAGATAAAGAAAAAAACGATCTTAGTTGAAATTTAGATAATATCTCTATTTTTAAGAGGAGAAAATTGAAGCACATTATATAGAAGGTCACAGACTATGTTGGATGGGGACTAGAACTTAGTTTTTACGTTTCTGGTAAGTTAAGTATTCAATTTTTCACTGGGATGTTAGATTTTCACTTGAAGTTCATTTGCAGTAGAATGAGATCATCTAAGATGATAACATTAGGAAACGTGAGTTATACAAAAACAGTGCCAAGAGTATACAAAAAAAATTCCATTAGTTGATGTTAAAAATAATTTTTTCTTCTTTTTTGTGATCTGAGTGGTGGTGGGAGCAGAGCTTGTTGCTTAAAGTGGTCATGCAGATGGCCGATTGTCCCAGCATCAAAGGGAAGGATGTAAATGTATAACTGATTGATGGGCAACATTGGTGGCTGCCGTCCATTAGATACTGGTGGCCAGTCTTGAACTCACAGAGGGTGTTTAAAATGACTTAATAGTTGCAGGATGGACTGTTGGTATTCTTGGGGAGGAAACTACTCTCCTAGCCAACTCTAAGGTGAAAAGCTGAGTCCCCACCTAAACTAATACTAAAAACATCCTGTGAGGATTTAATGATTTTTTTTTTGTATAAAAGCAGGTTGTAAATAAAGTGTTCTTTCACATAAAAGGAGCAACATTTAAAAACTTTTTCATGACTAAAAATGTTTTATTGGTACTGTTACAAAGAAAATAAGATATTTGATCTATTTATGATTTTTCATGCATTATTTAATGGTATTTATTTCTTAATAGCAGTTGTTGGTTTTTTTCCTAGAAGCCAATATTTAACATTACATGTTCTTTCATTCTAGGGGGCTCGGGTTGGCAGAATAGATGCTTTCGTTCAGAGCTTGGACAAAAATTTTATGGTTCCAGTAGGTGGCGCTATAATTGCTGGCTTTAATGATTCCTTCATTCAGGAAATCAGCAAGATGTATCCAGGTAAAGAAATAACTAACAAAAATCCATTTATACCTAGGCTACTATAAAAAAAAAATCTTAATTTCTAAAGGTTTTCCCCCCTTCCTGAATATAATTTATTTATCTTATCTCAGGAAGAGCTTCAGCTTCACCTTCTTTAGATGTCCTTATTACTTTATTATCACTTGGATCAAATGGCTATAAGAAGCTCTTAAAAGAAAGAAAGGTAAGCTTTCCCATTAGGTAAAAGATAGGTCTAAAATCTTGACTAGAATTATTCCTAATTATTGGTGTTTTTGCCTTTGGTTTGCCACTTTGAGAGTATAGATGGCTAGTGTGATCCTAAGGGAATTACTTTGATGTGGAATCACTCCAGGTGATTTCAGTTAATCATTTTGTCCTGTTTATTCAGATATTGTGAGTGATCTTGGACAGGTGAGTTTGCTTTTTTTTTTTTTTTTAGAAACTCTTACATCCGAGATTCTTATTAAGTTTAGTAAAATTCAGTTCATTTATCACTTAAAGATAGAGGGTCTTGAGAGACAAATGGACAAGTTTTTTCTTCTTAGTTTTTGGAAGTCTGAAGACTTGTGTAGGTGTGAGATGACAGTCACAAGAGAAAGAACCAGGTCAGAAGTTGGCCAGCTTCTCATTCTAAAGTAATACATTCATCTCTTGTCATTACTGGAATGCTGAACTCATTGGTTATGTTGGCTGTGAAAAGAAAAGTGATATTTGTGCTTGAAAACTGGACTTTGTCTCCAACACTAAAAACTGGCTTAATTAATTCAGGACAACTCCAAAATTGTAGACAGAGACAGTGTTGGCAGGGTGGATCAGACTAAAATGTTTTATTCATCCCCCATCTGGGAGACCTAGAGGCCCCTGGTACAGTTTTTGTATTTGTGTAAATTTCTAACATTTAGTAGCAATTATAATCCCTGAGATTTATAATATATTTATGTATTTTTTGTATTTTCTGATAGATCCTCTCAACAGCCTTATGAATATGTAACAGAAGTTGAAAAATTTTGTTCCTACTTTCCTCTAGTTATCCCTTTGCCCCCACCAGTTCAGTCCATAGGAAAGTAATTGCTTACTTTGTATTATGAGGACATCTCTTAAGATTTACGAGATCTAGGAAAAGAGGCTCAACCTCAGTCTTTAGGAAATGCCCCTGAAAACCTGGGAGATACCACTACACACCTAGTGTAAAGAACACTGACAATACTAAATGCTGGCAAAGAGCTCAAGCAAGTAGAGAACTCTCAGACATTGCTGGTAAGAACACAAATGGTACAGTAACTTTGGAAAACACTTTCACGGCTTTTATAAAGTTAAACATATGCTCACTGTATAAAGTAGCCTTCCCACTCCTAGCTATTCACTCAAGGGAAATGAAAATTTATGTATGTACAAAAACCTATACATGAATGTTCATAGTGATTTTATTCATAATTGCCAAACCCTGGAAACAACTCAAATGTCCATCATCTGGTGTATAAACAAACTGTGGTGCATATATACTCAGCAATAAAAAGGAACGAATTACTGATATAAGCAACAAAATAATGGCTCTCAAATGCATTATACTAAATGAAATAAGCCAGACTCAAAAGGCTGCATGTTGTTTGGTTTCATTTATATGCCATTCTGGAAAAGGCAAAAAATATCAGGACAGAGAAAAAAAATCAGTGGTGGACAGTTGTGGGTTGAGGGAAGGGACTCATGGGATGGGAAAATGGGCTGTATCTTGACAATGGGAGTAGTTTCATAACTGTGTATGTTTGTCCAAATTCATAGAAATGGACCCCTAAATACTGGGCCTCTGAAATTTTGCTATATGTAAATTATGCCTCAATAAACCTAACAAAGATTTTCAAATGATTAGAATAAAAGTCCGGTTTGATATGCTTCCAAAGGTAAGCATCGTGGTCATAGATTGTTGTAGCTACAAAGAGAAGACCTCAATAAATGTTCCAAGGAACCTTTTCCACATGACAGATGAAGCCTGATTATAAATGAGCAAAACTATCATGGGTTTATATTGTTTATATGAGAGCTTAGTTGTATTAGATGCCAGTGGGCCTTAGCTCTCCTATAACTGATTGTTTCACTATGAAAAAGGTGTTTGAACTCACAGATTTTTTTGTGAGGTGTTCCCACTATCCTCATTTTTACAGGAAGTAGAAGGATAGAGTGCTAACATGTATGAGGTAAACTGTGAGACATGGGTTCAAAGCTAGGCAGTTGAGCCTTTGATCCACTGTCTTAACCTCTAAACTCTACTGCTCTTTCCTTATGTAGATAAATAGTCTGGCCTGGTAGCTATATAGTTATCTTATATAGCTATAAATCTGAAGACTTGGGTCTACTAATAGCCAGTGGAGGCAAAAACAATGAATAAATTTAGTGATCGTGGCCAAAAAAAGCGCAGTTATATTTTAGAAAGGATATAACGTATTTGCCTTGTGCAGAATCACTGTTGTTGGGAATGGCCCATCCCTGACTCCAGGTGATCCTTGTGAGACTATCAATCACAGCACCCCTTCCTGCTCTGTTCAGAGCAGTGGGCATGTGATCTGGCTAACTTGGTTTGCAGGTGGGCATGTGGAGGTAGATGCCATCCAGCAGGTTTGATAGGTCCTTTAGAGAGAGAGGTTTGCTGCTTTGCAGATATATAAGGAGATGATACTCAGCTGCCATATTTCTGGCCATGCCAAGAAAGCCTTCTTGGGACTCGAGAATACGAGAGGGAAACGAGCTAAAAGTCATTTAAGTCTCTGGATCGAGCCATGCTTGCTTGTAGACTTGGCTGTGAGATGAACCAACAAATTCCCTTTTCCGTTTTAAACTAGATTTCTGGGGCACCTGGGTAGCTCAGTCAGTTAAGCGTCTTTCTTTGGCTCTGGTCGTGATCCCCAGGTCCTTGGATCGAGCTCCACATCGGGCTCCCTGCTTAGCAGAGAGTCTGCTTCTGCCTCTCCCTCCTGCTCCTGCTCTTTCTCTCTCTCTCTCAAATCGATAGAATCTTAAAAAAAAAAAAAAAAACTCGATTTCTAACACTGATATTTTGATTCCCCTTACACCCTTGAGTCCTTTGTAATGTTTCTCAACATACATTTCCTCCTTTCCCCTTCCCCTGCCACCACTTGTAGCTCAGACCCTTACCGTAGTACACCTGGATGCTTACAGTAATTGACCAGTTCTTCTCCCATTCCCCAATTTTAGTCTACTCTAATTTGCTATGTTATAGCATAGCAGAGTGCTAGATTAATATTTTAAAGTTCTTCAAGTTATTCCGCTTTGGGTTATGGTTGCCGGCAAGACAAAGTCCATATTCCTTAGCCTACCATCATGATCCTTTATAGTCTGCTCTCACATTACTTTGGCAGTATTGGACCATGTCATTCTTTTATTCAGGCAGAGAAATGTTTATGCATAGGCCCTAAGGTAAATTCACAAATGAGACTTGCATAGTCTCTACCGTCATGGAAATTATAGTCAGGGGAAATCTAGATATTAAATAAACAATTAAAAATCTGTCCGGCATTATGAAAAGGACAAGCAGAAGGTAGGGGAGCGTGTGGCAGTTCCAGCAGGGATGGGGAAGGCCTCCCTGAGGAAGAGACATCTGTTCTACAGAAGTACAGCTCGTCCATTTATTAGACTCCTATGGTGTCATCATTAACTCAAATGGATGGCTAAAATAACTGTTGAACTCTTAAAGGGTATTTTAGACTGAATCTAGAAAGCAAAGTACTATGCCAGTTATTGGAGAGTTTGTTCTAGGTAACTTCATAAAACTGGCCTTCCTTTGGGATAAATTCAGAGTCAGTCACTCTGGAGTGGGGCTCAAACACCTGCATTTGTAACAGACTTCCCTGATGAATTTGATGCACACCCTAGTTTGAAACCCATTGTTTGGGGGGCACAGAGGTCACTTGTATCTATAGCAGAAACTTGGAAAAGAAATATAACAGTGTCCTAGCATTTGAATACATAGGTTGATAATATTTTATGGAGTTTGATACAGACTGTATAAATATCCCAAATATCAAAGCTTAACAATATAACTTGTTAGTTACCTCTTTATTTCTGATCTTTTCCATTATCCTAGATACAGTCTTATATTGTGGCTGCTCTTTACCCTACAATGATCCCTCTGCAGATTTGGCTAAAAATTCATTTTTGGAATCTATAATAGCTCTCATAAGACTATTACATAAAGTTTTAAGTTAGACATTTAAAGATTATTCTTTATAATATAGATAGAAACTTTAAAACTTTTTATATGCTCTTTTTATTATATCAAGCAAATATACTATTTAATATTTCCTATTTCTGTTCTTGAATTGAAACTGTATATGATAACTAATATTATTATATATTTGCTCTAATAACTTAGTTTAGTTTTAATAAACTAAAACAGGTCTTGAGTGATTTTGTAGTTAAATTTATTGAACTAGCAAATTAAGCTGATTATCTGAGTGCATGCCCCCCAGAATCACCATCAGGTCTCTGAAATGAAATTTGGTCCTTGATTATAGTAGTCTGGGAGACTAGCGTCCACCTTGGAGTTTGCATTCATCCCTCTACTCTTCATGTCCTTTGCTTGATATTAGTAGATGCTCATCAGATGTTGGTGGAATGAACTAATGGATGGTATTTGGAACACCTAGGTTTAGTTTCATATAGTCATCTCTTACATTGCACAGAATAAGTATCTTTCTGGATAATTAGAAAGTAAATTAACTTTTTGATCCTGACTTACATTATGAGTTAGATGTTGTCATAGAAATATTTCTCTATATATTTATAGTTGGAAATTTGTGAAAAGAAGTGAGTTGAAATGGTGATACCTGTTGTGTGTGACCGGTATTATACTTCTGGAAGTAGTTCTTCCTCACTAGCAGGTATTTCTCTTCCAAGATAATTTCCTTACCTTGGGATTTTGGACTTGTTGATTTTAGGGGTGCCCTGTCATCTTTTTGGAATCTAAGAATTTCCATGATGCCATGGTTCTTTTGACTTTTGACATTGAGGTTTTGACTTTAAAATTTTCAGATACTTTTAGGGAATTCCAAATACCCATGCGCGTGTAACTTTTGCTTAGTTTGAAAAAGAAAAACCACCTGCTTTGGGAATGACCTGTAGGAATATGTAGCTTGACTGGTAAATAGATCCAGCAGGTAGCCCGGCTTTGCTTCCCAAGGGGACTTTGTT